TCTGCGTCATCGGACTCCTCTTCATCTTGCAAGGAACGAGAGGAAGACTCGGAATCCGAGCCGCCATCACCAGGACCCTCCCCCTCAGGAGGACTCCCCGGATCGACAGCCAGCTCGTCGTCATTCGGAAAGAGGGCTTCAGGAACAACCGTGTCCCAATCGTCCGCAGGTGCCTCGGCCTCGTCGAAATCACGCTGCGCTTCTTGTCGATGGTCACGACTCTCCCGTGGGCCCGGCCCCTCGGAAGCCTTCCTAAGAGCATCCTCGAAAGACCGGCAGCCAATCCATCTCCCAGACCGTGTGAGGTCCGGGTTGAAGAAACCCCGGGCAATGGCCTCGATGAGGCCCTCCACATAACCCAGAACAGGAGACATAGCGTCACGTCCGTATTCCAAAGGATTCTTTGCCCCAGGCTCCACATGGTAGCCGGCCAGCCTCTGTAAACCCTGAGGGGCGCCGGCCTTGGTCATCCACGACAGGACTGTAGGCTTGAAAGACCGGGTGCCCCCCCCAGGACCCAAAGGCTCAATGTCATACAAGCGGAAAATCTCCCCCAACCACGTGGCCGCCTCATCCGATGACAAAGGGATCCTGGCCCATCCCCCGCCCGCCTTGGGCGCAGGCATAGTAGGCTCCCCCCGCGTGGCAACCAGACCTTCACGGATCCTGTTATCTAGCCACGCAGAGGCCCAATCTTGCCCGGAAATCCCAGGGGAAACACCAATCGCCGGCAGCAGACGGTTTCTCAAAACCGCCGCTCTCTGAGCGGTCTTGTGATTGTAAAGCGAGGCCTCCACAAATCCTTTTCCATCGCTCATGTCAAGAAAAGGCTCAAATGCACAGTATTGCGAATCTCCCCAGCGCAGCCTGGCATGTACACAGAAGCACACATGCCCCACGAAGACGCACTCTTGCCCTCCTTGTGTGGCCGCGAACCATTCAAGAAATTTCACCTGAGCACAAGTAAGCGGAGGAGCTTTTTTCACAACCACCTCTGTCGTTCCCTCGGCGGCTCCCCGGATCCTCGAAGAGTCAAGTATGACTTGCACCTCCGCACCAAGAACACCTTTCGAGAAGCCCAGTGCTTCAAGAAAACGAGGTGCCCTGCTTCTCGGCGCCTTCGTCTTTCGAAGATGGACTACGTAGTCATACACCGTCTGCTCGTCCAGAGGAAAAACGCCAGCTGTGGAAACCCCAGTGGCGGCGGCCCTCCATCGGCAAAACATCAGCAGAGAAGCAGCGCGAGTCCTCAAAGTCGATGTTGCCTTGCGTCGAAAAGCATCCGAGATGGATGTATCCACTGCCGACGGGTCCTCAAACTGCTGGGCCGCCAAAACGGCCCTTCCCAGAGCCGTGGCATCCCCGGACGAAAGGAGTAGGACCTTCCATCTTTCCAGAGCTGCCGACCTCTTATGATCCAGGACATCGACCCAAGAGATACTGTGCACAGCCGACTTAAGCCACTTGGCCGAGCGAAACTCCCGAAGAGGCTGGGTCACATCCGACCAGCTCTTGTCATCTGCCTCCAAATCTGAAGCCCCTTGCAGCTGCACAGCAGGCCAAGCCGGGGATGGAAACACCGAGCTGCTAGGAGATTCCAAAATTCCTTGTAAAGGACCAGACTCCCAAGCCAAGCGAGGCCTCTTAACCCCAGCACGAAGGGCCCAAGCATCAGCCCGAAAGCTGAGAGGCTCAAGTCCCAAATCGGTCTTTGCTTGACCTACCCCCTTCATAACTCAAAGACCGGCCAAAATCTTACGGCCCTGCAAGAAAAAGCCGCCTGAGGCGCCGGTTCTCGGCGCGAGTCTGAGAAGATATGGCCAAAAGTATGGCTCGAATGCTGCGCTGTGTACGAGGAAGGTCGCGACTGTCAGGCAGACCCAGGAAGAGAATAATCAAGCTCCCGGTGCGAGAGGCGCCAAGAAAATGATCAAGCGAAAACCCTAGGATCTCTGACCGCCAGTCTGTGATAAGAGCCTGCTCAGCCAAGAGCAAAAGCACCAGCCTCCTGTGAGGAATAGGCGCAGCTCGGCGCACGCGACCGTCCATGCACTAGAAGCTTGCTAGAGCACCGCCGTTAGCACCCAAGGGCCTGCTAGAACGAAGACGTGTCACGGAGTGGCAGAACCGGGTGTCTGTTGTATCTCACTCCGACTTGCAGAGCTGGGCGGACCAACACCTGCCACCACCGCCGGGAGCAACAGCGCACGTCGGAACTGCACTCACGTGAAAGGGCCCCGAGGCTCAAAAGACCACCGTGCTCTTGCTTGAAGCATTGACAAGCGGATTGTGTGTTTGTCACAAAAGAGCAACTCCCAGAAAATCCGCATGGAAAGAAATTATCATGAAAACAACATGAAAATTCTTCCCACATGTTCAAGCAACGTGAATGAAAAAAATTTTACACGTTCTATGCGCGACCGCACAAAACTTTCAAGCGAGGACATAAAAGCTTATCACACAAGTGTGAGAAGTGCCTTTATCTCCAAAAGCTTGAAGTAAAAATTTCAATCATTCCATCAACTGAAATAAGCAAGCGCATACACTGACATGTCAACATGCACACGATGCACTCACTCATCTTTTTTCTTCTACGAAGCCCTGACTGTTATGGGGGTCGGCGCGCTGTCGTTCACAACACGCATAGCGATGCATGCGACCCTTGTCACACACATGTAAGAGCAGACTCACAGCTTTTGCCAGACCACTCCAACCCCCTTCAACTGCCCTCTGGCAAAAGGGCCTCGTAGGAAGGCTTGACTATCTTGCAATCTTTGTAAGAATCAAAATCGAGACGAGAAGCGGCATCCGAAGGATTACTCTTAGACGGCACACGGCTGTACCATCCCAAAGCTCCAGATTCGACATCAAGCTTTGCCGACTGCATCAAAAGCGAAGTGGCGTTAATCTGAGCAGAGTAAGATCGGATGAAGGTAAAGCGGGCTCCTTCGTTGTCCAAGAAGAACAAGACACGTCGCCCTCGTATCACCTCCTTCCAAACTGTCTTGGCCACAAGAACTGGAAAAATCTCTGCAAAGAATATCACTTGCTTCCTCCCGCCACGCTTCCAAAGCGCGACCAGAGAATCTGGCACGTGATCCCCGAAGACCTCCTTGCGCCTCGACACCGGGTCAAAAAGCATTGCACCATGCGTCACAAGAGAGCCTTCTTGCTCGCAAGCACCATCTGTGAATATGATCACAGGTGGCTGCCGCGACCATGCGCCCACGCACCTGGGTCCTCCGGCTTTCAAGGTGTCCAAAGCAAACTGCAAGGAACCCAAAAGATCCCCCAAGTGCTCACTGGAGTGGGACCGGTCGCTGCCCCTTTGAGAAATGAGCTGAGTCGCGATTTGGGCACACTTGCCGAACACGTGCCCCGCCGCAAACAGCAACTTGCCTTTCAAGGAAAGCAACTGCTTATGATCACAGCGTCTCGTTGCTGCGCATTGCTGAACGATCTCCTCGATGGCCTCAAGGCGTCCCTCTTTGTTGAGCACAAGTACATCCCCTTTGAAGGCTCGTTCGAAGGAAATGCAAGCTCCCAACATGTTGAAGGACGATGCGAACGGCAGAGCTTTGGTACCCTGAGCAATCTTCCACCCAAGCAGGTCCAACACCTCCTCGGCTGTAGACCTGGCAGAGTCTTGTAAAGGTCCCAACTCCAGCTGACAGAAGTCGTCGTAGAAGTTGGTCGTGACCAAAAAGAACAGTGTAGAAAGAACTCTTCGGAGGGCCCGCGCCGTTCTGTTAAAGCCTGTCACTGCACTTACCGCACCAAAAGGCAAAGCCACTGCTTCAAAGTAATGCACTACGTTGGTCTCTGGATTGAGGACCGCCACGATAGACACCCACCCGTCAGAAGGGTGACGAGCCAGCTGTTTGTAGGCGGCTTTCAAGTCTAGCGCCCTGCCTCCCAACTGACGGGCTCTGCCTCCTTTCCAGTCGGGATGAAGACGCCCAGTGACCCATTCACCAGAAGCAGCAGGGAGCCGGAAGGTTCCAACACCCGTCGTCGTCGAACCAAGGAAGAATCGGGCCAAGGAAACAATGTGGTCAATCCCCTCCAAGGTGATCTTCTCCGTCTCGGTGACCGCCGCGTTGATGAGGAACTCGGAGAGGTCGTCCACACTCCTCACTTTGTCAGCCTGAGAAACTCCAAAGCGCTTAGAAGGAACCCAACAACCCTGGTACTTCTTGTCGATCTCGTCCCACGTGAAGGGTCCTTTCAGCCAAGACTTCTCAACCTGCTCGAGCGTCTCGGTCCACACCGCCTTAGCCACTTCCAAGTCGGGTGCGGATTTCCTGCATGATGCCTCCACCAAGTGCTTTGACCACCGGGCCGTGGCCTTAAGTTGATCCATGTCGAGACTCGCCGGCTTGAGCTTCCTGGGAAACTGCCCCGAAGGCGGCAGCGCACCAATCAACTTAAAGCCTCTAGTCATGTCTTCTAGGAGGTGAGGATCATCCACTCCAGCGTCACGCAGCATCTCCTGGAACAACAAGAAATTTTTTCCCTTCATCACTTCGCGCACCTCAGGGTCCATGGTGGCCTTGAGGGCCTCCTCATCTGCCCTCAGAGCCACCTCGCGGCTCCGGTAGTAAGCCAAAGTGTTGGCACGAAGTGTCCGGACCCCTTCCACGCCCTGCTGACCTGCATTGCACGCACATTACACATGTCTGAAGTCGACGGCTCGTCGAAGGGATGCCGCGTTTTCAGAGCCTCAGCAAGAAAGGCTTCGGGTGTACGAAAGATCCCGAACTTGACCTCGCGCACGCCTTCAGCTCCCCCTTCGGCTTCTAAAGTCCGCGAACTAAGCAAACGAGAGCCCGCCGGCAAACCTTGCAAGGGCCACGGGGCGGCCTCATCGATGACTTCGGGCACCGACACACACAAAGGCACCTTCATGACACATGTGGACCCAAACTCGGAAGGTCCCACCTGAAGAGAGACGCCCCTTGGCTGGCGCCCCGTGGCTGCAGCAACTTCGAAGGCTTCGGTGGGAACATGCTTGAGTGGGAAAGCGTTGAACTGCGCGCAAAGATCCATCAAGTCAGAGGCCGCCGCACGACAGAAGAGGGCAGGGTACTCTGCCGTCCCACGGGTTTGGAAGTCCCACTGACCTCGAGATGTCGCGACACCCCAAGGCTTGTGAGGGTGTGCATTGTCACATTTAGCATGCATGGAAGGCAAGGGATGCGTGCACAGCAAACGGGTGGCCTTGCGCACCTCAGCACCATACATGCAGGCGTGCGAGTGCATGGAATGGAGGCGGCCAACCCACGGACGAATCCACTGAGTATTCCAAAACCATGCCCGGCTTGGATTCTCAAAAACACAAACCTTTTGCAACTGAACACACAGCTCAAGAACCTGCGCAGCAAAGGAGTAGAGGTGGTTGGCCAACCTCACACGTCTGGCCTCAACCCCTGAAAGACCCGGCAACCCCTCCGGAAAAGCAGCATTGCGCAAAGGCCTGGCTTTAAGAGTACATGACAAGCCGGCCGGCGGGCGGATCGGAATGTCACGAGCCCGAGACCCGGTGCCACAGGGCGGGGCCAACCAGACCACATCGGCACGTCTCACCTCAGCAAGAATCAAAGCCTGGTCAGCTGCATGAGTGAGGTCCAGGCGAACACAAGGTGCCTTGACAGAGCGCGGATTGATGCAACGATCAACCCCTAGCGATTCCCCCCCCAAGCGCCCAAAAGCAGCTGACAGGCCAGCAGACCCACAGAAGAGCTCAAGCAGGTAAGGAACCCTAGGTGGCTTAGGGGCGGGAGGGACTACAGCCGCACGGATGGGCCCTCCGTCCGGGGTGCTAGAGACTGGGTGAAGAGTGTCGGCAGCACCCCGTTTCTGGCAGCAAAAGGAAGAGGGCACAGAGAGCCCCCGAGATGACACGCCTAAGTCTCGAAAAGAATTGTCTCGCTCAGAAAAACTTGAAACATCTTGCACTGTCGGATTTGACAAAGGAAAATCTGTTGGCGGATGCCCACTGTCCACAAAACTGCAAGGAGAAATGCCGCCCTGGCGAGGAGGCCTCAGCGATCCTAGTCACGATCGCTTGACCTTTGGGCAATTCGCAAAAATGTGGTCCTTGGACTCACAACCCGGTCCACAGCAAACATGCAGTCCTTTGTCACATCGCTCACCGGTGTGACTGCAGGTACCTAGGTTGTGACCATAGCAAATCGCCTCATTGGCCTTGGTGCGCGGCACGCCCCCCCGCAGGCCCTGTGGCATAGCCCCACGCAACTTCTTGCGATCAGGCTGGCCCTCCGGCGCAGGGGGAGGAGGCGGCACCTCGGCAGCCTCTTTGGCTTCTTTTTTCTTCTTCTTCTTCTTCTTGGTAGGCTTCAAGGGTGCGCCTGCATCTCCCGACGACTCAAGATCCTCGGCCCCCGGGTGAGCACTCTTGCCCCCCAGCCTAGCCGGCATAAGGATCCAATGAATCGGCGCCATCTCGAGCACTTTTGCTAGATGGTCATCCAGCGGCAACTTGCCCGGACCTGGAGTTGCAAAGCCCGCCCTTGTAAGCCTTGCAAGCTGCACATGGGTCTCTCGATCGGCCGCCTGAAGCTGATTCAGAGTGACCCGCCCGAAACCCGGCAAGGGATCCTTCTGCAACTCTCGAATCAAGAAGCACACCAAGGCCTCGTGAGCAGCAAAAGACATGTAACCTCCAAGTTCATAAGCGATGCCCCGGCGCCGCAAAGCCTGGAAGACCTCCAGCTCGGTGTCCACTTTGGTGCGCAAAGAATCGTAGGCGGCCACTGCTTTCAGTACCCCCGAACGGTCCGGCTGGAGCATACGCAAGGAGGGCACTTCCTTCAAGGAATTCACTTCCTGATTCCTAGTCGTCACTCGGCACAGCTCGATGTACCTCACCCTTTGGTCCTCCACGCATTGACAAACCAGGTTTACCACAGCATGGGAAGGTTCAAGGCTGTCTTCAATCCGCAGCGGAAGCACTTTTGCTTGCAAGGCATCAATGCGACTGGCGATTTCAGCAGGGGGAAGCTTGCGCGGGACGTCGCCCTCATTGGACTCCGTTTGCCGCTTGAGCTCGGCGGCAGTGAGAGTGTAACTCTCAAAATGAAGTCGTCGCAGGGCCGCCCCTGAGGAATGATCCGCGCTCCCCAGAATCACTGTAATCACATCACGCACAAAAATGCTGTCATCTCCCTGCCCCGGAATCACGGCAGTGGAAAATGCAAAGTTGGCGTAAGTTCCCCAGCCCTTGGCCTTAAGAGCAGCCACCGCCTCGTTAGACAGGCCGACTTTGGCACATCTCGATGCGAAGACTGCTTCACTGTCTACCACGGACATTGAGCAAACAAACTGCAAAGAACAAAATCACACGAGTGTGCACAGCATGAGCTACCATGGCGCAGACCTGTAGCGGAGCAATTCGGCTTACCAACCCTACGTGACACTGGCTCGCACCTGGGCGGGCTCGGCTTGACAGCCCTAACGCAAGCACGAAACGAACTCAGAGTATGAATGGCCACCAAGTCGTCTGCCAAAGACTGTAGACCCTGCCTAGAAGAGACTGTATACCCTGCCAGAGAGGAAAATACAATTTCTCCTTTGGCAGGGTCTACAGTAGGGTCCAAATGAGCAAAAACCCAGCAAAACGGCCATTGGTGGACCCTCATAACTCAGAGAACTCTTCCCTTTAAGCTCGCTTGTCTCACAGCTCCGACCAGCACCTTGCACATTTGCGAGGCTCATACATGGAACACTCCTTAGTTTCCACGTAGTTAGCATTTGCCTGTCGGCCACAAAAGAAGACGGTTGCTTCGCCCTCAGAATCAGGATTCAAAATTCGCACTCGGTGCAAAACTCCGCTGACGACATGCCTAAAGAAAGATCCCACTTGAGCCTCAGCCTCGCCGTCGATAGCCTCGGCCACCTGAGACCCCGCAATCTCGGCCATGCGCTCTGCGTCATCGGACTCCTCTTCATC